GGCAAATGAAAAGGAATTTTTCACTCTATACCGCAAGAGGGCTTGCTCGCAGGCTATCATGCATCCAATTTGCACCCCGTGTATAGCACGTCATATGTATCCTACCTCCTTTATCGCCCCTCCCCCCCCCCCCCCCCCACCCCACCCTAATGCTAATCCTTCGGGTACCTGGTAAGTTAAGCTGAACTCTACCCCGGTGAACCGAGCGAAATACGGGTCGGTATAACTCACAGTCGGCTGATCAACTTAACATTCAGGGCGCAAAAAGGTATAAAGTAAAGCTGCATATCTGCAAACGGTTAGGATTGAGGATTGCTAAGTCTCCTTTTGGGGGTAACAAAACCGCAGAGCAGACAGAAGACCGTGCTGACTAACGACATGTGGGTTTGGTACTCAAAATGCCGGAGAACACCATCTGTTTGGGATCTTCTTCGTAAAAAGGAAAAAATGGATAGATTAAAAACAAAAATGAAGAAATCCAGGATGTTTCATAACCGACCTGAAATCTGGTCGTTACTTGAACACGCATCTAAGAGGTCAGCATATACATGCTCTTCATTTTCTCTGTCAGACTAAAAAAGCGGAAAAAGGACAAAAATGTAGAGCGGAAAAGGAAATAAAAAGACAAGACTTTAAGTAATGATATGCAAAGACAGTCTTGTAGGATGTTGTTTACACTGTTACCTGTTGAGCTGGATTGGGTATCACTAAAAAATAACAAAAAAATATTTTAAACAATGTGAGGTAATTGATAGTCATAGAACAAGCTTTGAAAAAATGTCTAGCTTTACAGTTTACTTGTTACCTGCAATAGCCATATTGTTTTGTAGCCTCCTACCAAGAAAATTAGAAAAATATACATGAATTACTGAAAAACGTACGGTGAAGACCAAGCACAAGTCTAAATCAAGCGAAACTAGAGACACCATTAAATTAGCTAAAAGAGAAAAAAAGGAAAAGGACGATTGTAATCTCAACCTATGACTGTATATCTAACTGGATTTTTGAAAACGGAAAAATAAGTAACGTTGGAATGAAATTTTAATGAGATTAGACAGAAAAAAGTTAACAGGATTTATAAACTCTCTAACTCTACTCAACGCCTCTACGTTCTTACCAGCAGTAATTACACAAAAATTATTCTCTGTACCTCATCTAATGTAGTTGAATTAGACGAGAATGTATTCTACCTTGATTTACAAATGTGGTTCCGTTTACAGAGGAAGTAGAGTACTGCAGCACTAATGAAAGCCAGGAATAAAACTCCGGCAAGGGTTCCCCCAATAATCGCAGCAATAGGCTGTATAGTCCGAGAAAAAAGTAAACCATAAATTTGGTACATGTACTGTAAAATAACAGTGTACAACTTCGAAGGTTGCTATTAATGAACTTAAGATGAAGGGCAAAATGCTGTTTTATAGGTAACTTAGTAATGCATCTAAAAACATAGGAAGGAGTGATCATTTAGATAGTTGTCGCAGCCATACATGGATGAATTGTGTATTACATATCAAATTAACAAGGTATTTTTAAAAAGCCTAAACATCAGGGGCACCCAACGACAATTTTCGGAAAATATCTGTTCAGAAGACGATTTGAGATCTAGAATTTTCGGAACATTTGTTGTAAAATTTTTTGCTTGCCTGCATCGCCTAGGATTTTCGAACATCTAAAAACTACAATAATTGCCCATTTTTAACGGATTTTTACCCTTAAAAGGTCACCTAGAATTTTCGGGAGCCTTTTTTTGGGCTGAAATTTTCGAAAAGGTAAGTTTTGATCCCTATAATTTTCGGATCACTAGACTTTCAGCTAGGATATCCAAACAGATGAAAACTTTTTAGGGGATAAAAATATGCCTACAACTACCGTTTAAATACTAAAATACGTTTAACAATGCTATGTTTGAGTGGTTTTGAACTATATTCTCGTTGGGTGCTCCTGAAACATATGTAGAGACATACAAACGAGGGAGGTCAGTCTCTGACACATTGTCCGTTTTTAGCTGCATGAGAAAATAAAGTTGTTTAGGTGCTTTCTTATAATCACCTCACTCACGTGGACACTCCAAGTCAGATTCGTTACAAATGGTTTAAAAGCCCCATGAGTTTTGGGCTCTCAACTACCTGAATGTTCTCGCCATCTATGACTACTGGTGGAAAGTCGCTTTCTACTCTCGCAAATGAGACGCGCAGTTCCTTGCATTTACCATTGTTCAACGTAACTCTATTTAACTCTATTCTTGCGTGACCAGTCAGTTATTGTATAATCAATAGATTGAGCATTACTATGGTCACCCTTACTTACAAATTACAGTAAGCTTACAAAAAGAATAGGCTCTTTGCATGACTTGATCACGTGATCAACTTTCGGTAAACACAAAAACAGGTCGCTTTTGAAAAAAATTGTTTGCACAAGCTGAAAGAGCATATTAAAATTAGGTAACCTGAGAATTTTCAGCCGTATATCTCAAAAGTAGCGACTGCAACGGCCGACGAAAGTTAGAAGCATTAATTGTATGAGAAAAACAACTTTTGCCAACCAGTTACGCTTGCATGGTTTTCCATACAAATCCTTGTAAATTCTAAAATTATTAAACTGTTGTGTAATCTTTTTCTTTAGTATGCATTAAAAGGCTCAAATTGTCTGTTATGAATTAAAAGGAGATTTGAGCCCTGTAATACTTAAGGAAATAATTCATCGACTTACAGTCTTGAAAATTTCGAAATTCCAGGTTACCTATTTTTAATATGCTCTTCAAGCTTGTGCTAACAAAGTTTTCATAAAGTAAACTGTTTTCATGTTTACCGAAAGTTGACCACATGATCAAGTCATACAAAGAGCCCATTTCGAATCTAAGATACTGTTAGTGCTACTACAGGATGACCTTATTTACAAGAATAGGAGGCTAGTTTAAGTCTATCATCGATTAAATCTTAATTGAAAATTGGTTATTACTGGACAGCAAACAGATTAGTCATGATCAAAAACTATTTCTTTTTTTATAAGAAGGTGAAAATGATTGCCTGGGTGAGTGTAGTCCAGGATAGGGCATGTGGTTTTGACAACCTTAAAAGGGGGTGGGGGAGGTGGTTGTGGTTGCACAGTACGTTATTGACTCAGATGATAACCTCTGAATCGAGTTGCCGAAAAGTCAAATACTGTCTGCAACAACTTCAGAAATTCACTCACCAGGACACTCATATTTCACTTATGACATGGCTCCTAGGTTTAAACCCTTTGCAATATTGTTCTTTTAAGACTGTTCAGTAGACAAAACTGATACTTACACGGGTTGTATGAGGAGGAGTACATGTAGTTGTTGTATTTGTAGTACAGTTATCTGAAGGAGGGGGAGTAGGCACTGTATAGTTACACAGTGGAACTGTCAGTGAGACACAACAAGAACCATAAACAAATCAGTTGTTACCTACTAGAGCTTTATTTATTTTTTTGTTTTTAATTCTCGATATATCAAAAATAAATTATTAATGAACTTCTCCAGGGCTGTGCTCTAGCAGAGCCTGGTGGTCCCTGGCGCCCAACTTTTTCCCTGGGGTGACAAGAAAATCTCAGATTTTTCATACAAATCATGTGCTGGGCACCCTAGATTTTACAGTTTCAGATCACCCAGGGCTCCCTTCAATTTTCCTTGGCGCACAGTCTTGTTCTCTGGGACCTAAATATATACAGTTAAACCTACTAACAGACAGTTAACACATGTCTATTCACCCATTTAAACCTCTGTACAAAGGCCATCTAGTTGATCCCCACTGTCATTGGCAGATTTAGCAGAAGTTGGGGGGGGGGGGGGGGGGGCCCCTAATTTTAAGAGCATCTTTCCAAAGTCTTTTTTACCCCCTCCACATTTTTAAAACCCCCCGCCCTTTAATGCTTCCCAGTGAGCACACACCCCAAACACACCAAATACTTTTTGTTTTGTTTTCTTTGGACTCACAATACATTAAAAAGATTAACACAGCCTCAAACAACAAGCCAAACCCATTCTTCCCCCTCTTAATCCCGTGTGTACAAGCGCCCGCGTGTGCCGCCCCCGAGGTAGTGAGAGTATGAGGGAGGGGGGGGGGGGGGGGGGGGGGCAGCCTAAATTTCAGACGACTACTTCCAAGTCGTTTTCATGCCCTCAGCAATGTTTAAATCGCCTGGCCATTAATGCTGTCCAGTGACGTCACTACCCAAAAACCACATAGTGATTTTGTTTGGTTTATGGTCTAAACATTGGCATTATTATGCAGGCAGGTACAAAAGTTGGACTGGATCAACTCTGACCGCCAGTCCGGGTCGGATCAACTCGGATCGACTCGGACAAACTCAGATCGAATAAAAAGATAAAAATAAAATAAAATTGGACTCGGATCAACTCGGATCATAAAAAAAACTCGGATTATAAAAAGAAAAATAAAATCAGTCGGTATCACTTAACTCTCGCCCGCCATTTTGTTTCTTTCTCACGAACTCGTGGTTGCATAAATTAATTTTATTTTTATTTTAATGATACACTAGTGAGCAGCACACATACACCTCCAGTGAACATTTCAATTTGGAAGGAGAAACAAACATGCTCGCCCGGGACAACGAAAATTTTCGTACCCCGGGCGAGAATTGAACTCACAACCCTTCAAATACTACATGTTTATCGGACATTCCAACCACAGAACCGGAGGGTGGCGAGTTCGATTCTTGCCATAGGCATGGAAATTTCCTTTGTCCTGGGCGAGCATGGTTTCTCCTCCTTCCAAGTTGAAAATGTTCACTGGAAATGTATGTGTGCTGCTCACTAGCTAGTGTATCATTAAGATTAAGTTTCAGAAGCCCTGCAGAAAAAAAACAAACAGGAACAAACAAACAAACACTCTTCGGTAACTATCTAAATGCGATTAACTGACCATGCTTTTGATACTTTTCTCATAAATACAGTACACCTATTAATCAAAAATTGTGTGCATAGCTTATGATCACGCTCACCTTTGCTTTGTGACAAAAAGCTGCAATAAAGTAAAAAAATAAGCAAATATATATTCTAGGGGACTGAAACTATCATTTTCTTGGAATGAAGCAAATTCATTGAGAAAGATGGTCGAGATTTTACCTTCCTAGAGGTCATCCATATCTGTGAAGCAGTGCGCGTCGTGTAACACAACCACACCCACGAGTCAACCCACGAGTTTATAACATGATCCGAGAGGTACTGGCACTAGTAAAACAAAATGGCGCCTGAAAGCCGAGGTGAAAAAAACGATGATCTGGCCTTTTTTACCCTCCAAATGGGTTAAACTTTCAGTTTTGCTGATTTAATTTAATTTTTCTGATTGCTCCGAGATGATCCGAGTCCAATTTTATTTTAGTTTTATTTTTTTATTCGATCCGAGTTGGTCCGAGTCGATCCGAGTCGATCCGACCCGGACTGGCCATCCGAGTTGATCCGGTCCGACTTTTGTACCTGCCTTTATTTATATGCAGCTGTAAAGAAAAGAAATTTTAGCCAGATTAATTATTGTTGTTTGATTTTAAGCAGATCACATGCCTGGCATGCTTGCGTGGGGTTTAAAAATTTCAACAATCTTTATCGTAAACAGCGAAATTGCCCTTGTCTTTGAAACTATATGAATTGCAAAATTGAACTAAGAATGAAGAATCATTATTGCGGAGAGTTGGTAGGGTTTTTCATTTGCAGCCGCTTTGTGGTTTCAGCAATGATTTTGTTTATGCAAAGTTTTCTGAGAGTTTGATTTGACCTTCTTTTCATTATCATTGTCAAGCCTAATGATTCTGTTTGCTTTTCTTATTTAAGAACAAAAGATTTTCCCCCAAAAATGTCACATCACTACACCTAACTCTTATTCACTCTCCTCTATATAATGGCCAGTTCCTTAATACACTGGCCACTTTTCTTGTGGAGAGGTTCAATTGTACTGGATCAGAAAAATTAGTTCTCACTTGTATACCCTTTAATTAAGGCCAAAGATTGATCAGAATGAAATTTCTCCTTGCAAATTTTCCTTTTTTTTTATTCAATGCTTTGTAACACAGTGGTCATGAGAATTTAATAAGGGCAACTCATTGTCGGATCGAGATCCAGACCTTAAGATAAGGGTGGGGGGGGGGGGGAAGGGGGTCACCCAAACCCTTAGAAAACGGATTGGGGCCCGCAAAAAATTTTTTCCTTTTATTTTTTTGGGAAAATTAAAAGGAAAAAAAAAAAAAATTTGAATTTTGTAAAAAACTTTTAATTGGTTTTACTTAAATTTTAAAAACCCTTCACCTTTAAACATAAAAAATTTAAGGCGTTAACCTAATATTTGCCCTGGGGGGGGGGGGGGGGGGGGGGAAGGCGGTCATCCAGACCCTTAGATAACGGATGTGGTCTCGCAAAAAATTTCTTCCTATTACTTTTATGGGAAATGTAAAAGGAAAACAAATAAGAATTTGAATTTTGATAATAACTTTTAATTGGTTATACTTACATTTTAAAACTCCTTCAGCTTTAAACATAAGACATTTAAGGCGTTGACCTAATATTGGCCCTGTGCAGTTCAAACCAAGCTTAATGATGTGACCGCTTTTGCTGGTTAGACTCTCAGATTGTTGAATGATCTGTTAGGAAAATTGCATGAGTTTTGATTTTAAGGCATACTGCAGAAATCTATCAAGCTTCCACAATGTTTGGGACACTGAACACCTCACACATAAGTTTTTAATTAGTTGTACACTGTATTTAAGTGTGGTTTAAGTGTATAATTATATAATTTGCAAATGTTTTTTACTTAATCGATCATTCAGGGCTCAAAATTAACTTTTTCGTTCAGGAGCCAGCTGGCTACTAACGGAAAAATTTTGGTCTCCAGATCGTAAATTTTGGTCGCCACCCTATTTTATACATAACTTACACCAACACGATTTTATACGTTACTTTGCATACAAGAAAAGTCACAACTGAAGAGCGAAAACAATATTATTAGAAACAACACGAGTAACACTTAGTTATAAAGCTACCGTTGTTCTCAGGTGATATGTCTCTGGTCCGAAGGTGATGGTTGTCTCCATAGTCATTTTAAATGTAGCGAAGCATAAAACGTTTTAAGTCCGTGGTTTTCATTCTGAGACAAACACAGGTATCTGCCACCATTTTCGTGGCAAATGAAAAGCACATGGTGTTGAAGTGCACCTGCGATCCCAGTTTCAGAAGAAGCCACTGAAACAATATGGCGTGCAAAAATACAGTATCGACGTGTCGAAAAACATTCAATTTTTTTTATTATCTTGTAATATTCAGACATTATTTTACTGGGGATGGAAAGGTGAGTTGTATACTAGCTACCATATCTGATTGATTTCCTAATATAAAGATTTAAAAACAAAAGTTGTGTCTTGGTTTTCTTTACTCATCGGACAAAACGCGAGTCGCCAGTGCTCAATTTTTGGTCGCATTGGCGACCAGTGAGTCATAATTTCGAGCACTGTCATAAGGAACTTTTTTCAAAAACAAATGTTGTCCATCTTTAGTTTTTAAACCAGTTTTTAATGCAATTTATGTATCGTATAGGGAATCCAGACACCTCATGTGTTAAGTGGAACTATGGCTAGCCTTGGTAAGCCCCAAACATTTTTCTCATAGTTTCTGTAGACTGCCATGTACAAAGGAGACACCTCTAACAGGTTGGCAGACCGTACAAAACACAGGTCATGGGTCACTGCACTATTGATAAATATATAGTGATAAGCTGTTTCCTCTTTTAAAACTAAAACTCTATTTCAGCTTGTGATTAGCTATAGAGCTACAAGACACTTTTAGTGTTGTTTATTTACCTTAGCACAGTGATCTGTACTCTAACCTGCACTAATGTGACCTGTGACCTGTGACCTTCATTTTCTACAGGCTGCACCTCTTCTTTAAGCAAGCGAGACACTAGCAACAGTTCTCTCAAGGTTTCCTGTACACTAGCTGCACGTTAATTGGCCTGCGTACTTTAATTGACATTAAGTAAATATTAAATTTTCAGTTTAATTTCATTCATACATTGTTTCCTTTACCCATTTTGAAATATACAAGTCATGTATTCACTGTCTTGTTAATTCAATATGTTGATGTACAAGTATCTGTTTAACTTTGTTATTTTTCAACTGTATATTATTGTAATTTTTTTTTCTTTTACTTTTCCTTTAAGCTTCCCGCCTCGATTAGCAGTATAGGCTACTTTGCGGGCAAGGATCAATTTTATTATGGCTTGTATCCAAAGTGTTTTTAATCAACTTGAACTTAAACTTAAACTTGTACATGACTGTATACCCACTCAACAAAAGGCATACCTTAATATGTGATGTTGTCAATGGTGTATCATTTGTTACTTCTAGCACACCTGGAGGAATATTGAATTTGGTCCAATTTCCTGCAGCATCCAGAAAGGCTATAGATGATGTCAGCTGACATGACATGAGCCGCATATTTATTTTTCTCTCAAATGGATACCTATCCACTTTTGTAACATTGATAACCCTGACAATGCTTGCGCTTTTGGCAAAACCCCAATTGAGGCACCCACGGCCATATTCACCTGTGTTAAAATATTAATTTCAATGTTAGTCTTTTTAATTCAAAGTAGCTAGTATAGTGTTGGGAATTGGCTGAGAATTCACAATTGAATGACATAGGAAATTATTGGACTGACCCATGCCACCTGATCGATCATTGATTATAATAGGAAAAATCTCTTTACCGGAATTCCATTTAAACAGAGTGTACGAAAAACATACAAAATGCATCAGACAAAGGACAGCAGTGGATTTGGACCTGCTCACCATAAAGCTTGAGTAGCTCAGTGGTTGAGTATGCGAACTAGAACTCAGGGCGTGGCAACTTCAATTCTCACCTTCAGTCACCCGTTGCATTTTCATCACATTGATCTAACATGAAACTTTGTCCCAGTCTTCTCCTGCGTTAAGAAAAACTAAAGAGGAGGGGGGTAGAGGGTGGTCAAAGTTGAAAGTGAGAAGTGAGTATTCGAAAGTTGATTTTCGCACTTCAGAAATGGACATTTGATTTTCACTTGTCAAGTTCAAAATTGACTTTTTGAATTGACTTCTTAGTTCATAAATCAACTTTTGATTTTTGATTTTGACTTTTCATCTTGAAGATCAACTTTTGATGGCTACTGTCGATTGCTGTACAGTCTTCTTCTTCATATCAATCGTGTTTCTCTAATGATAACTATTACTTTTCATGCATAATTTCCAGAAGAAAAGAAAACAGGTTTGTATCAATGCTAGTTCACTTGAAGGCTAGGGTACTAAGCACAAAACTGAAGCCATTAAGGTTAACATTGTAGGTTTTAATTAGGCACGAGGAGAATGTTAAAAAGAGTGCTTTCAGATAAACGTCAAAGGCAGTAAATACAGGAATATCAAATTCTGCTCATTTTCACGGTGCTAGAGCGCTAAATCGAGAATTTCCCTTTCACTTTGCTGTTCATGTGTTCACCTGATACATTTATTGATAAAATCACAGGGTGCAGCTCTCAATATATGAATCGATTCAACTGCAGACTTTCCCAAATTTGACACTAATGGAGCATTGCATCTCTGAAAAGAGCTATGTAGCGAATAACTGCAAGAAGACGCTCGTAAAGTTGCATAATTCCTCAATGCCTATTTTTTCCTGTCATCCTGGCAAAAACTGAAACCTCCGCCAAATTAGTGCCCGTTTCCCCCTTCCCTTATCCAAAGTTGTTTAGGATAGCATGGCAATTTTACACCTTGGCTTTTAGACCAAGGCAAGTTTGAATAGGGGGTGGGGAGGGGGCTTACTTTTTCCGTTTAGAGGAGACGGGAGCAGGGCACAAAAAGTTAGAACATAGATTGAATCGTCTCAACAGTCTTGTCCAGGGTTGTGGGTCAACCTCAGCCTCGAAGGCTAGGGAAAATTGTAGGTACGGAGACAATTTCAAAAGAGTGCTATTAAATAGAGGTAGCTAGAAGGCGGTTGATAGAGGGTTATCCATTTTTTTATTTAAATGCAAGTGCAAGAATTTCGCTCGCACTTGCTGTTAACATATTTCAAGTTGACAAATAAAATCACAGAGAGTCGGCAGCTGTCAAAAAAAAAATGAATCTATTCAACCGTAGACTTTTCCGTAAAATGCAATCGCGCAATTTCCAAAAGTTACATACATGTACATTTTGAGCTCAACCGCCTTCGATTCAATGAAGCAGCCTAGAAAAATTATGTTCGTTCACGGGCGCCTTAATCAGGTGCTAAATCGTATCGCCGACCTGGGTATTTAATCAGAATATAATGGCTTGTTAAGCTTTGTTTTACTTACCCCTAAACTCTGGACCCTTCTTACAAGTTCTTTTTGATCTTAGAAAGAGCGAATCTGACTTTCCCGCCTCGCATTTGCAGCCTCCTGAATAGCTCGTAGCCCCAAAATAGCTACAATTTTCACTGCACTTTTCGTTGGTGAAGGTATCATCGTTCGATCCCGAGACGCGTCTAATCTCGCTGTAAAAGACCTCTCCACGGGTTTTGACTATGAAATACCACACGACACATAATCCTGTAAGAGGCAAAATATTCCCCAACATTACAGTAAATCGAAGGAGTATAAAATAGTGCAAACATTGTGTTCGCAGATTCGAAAAATGAGAAATTTGAAACCAAACCATGTGACTCGAGAATAAAACAAAACGTATGCCGACTATTCAAATATTTGCCCTTTCAGGAATTCTTAGCCTACACGGGGAAATAAAATTGAAGCTGGCGAAGGTTTTAATTCTTTATCACCAGCAATTTCGGGCTTGAATTGCGAAGAAAATACAGCACCACTTTTTCGGAGTGAAGGACACGTTTTTCGCCTCTTTGGAAACCCATTTCGAAACCGCGCCAGCGCGCCAAATTTACCGCATTGTCAAAATAACGCAAGGGGTCCTTTCGCCGAAAAGCAGGAAGTCGTCTTTAATTCCTTTCATGATTTATTTGCAAGTCACTTTTCGCGACCTCTTTTGATTACCGAGTGAAAACAAACCAGAAAAACTAATTTAAAACTCTGTGGCGAAGATTTCTCCCATGAAAAGCTGAGAATAGGATGCAAAACTCCTTGCAATGTGGACCCGCGGGGAAGGTGACAATAAACCACTTGATTGGCATCGATAAAGATAGCTTTTTCCACGAATTTATAGCATGATTTTCAAAAAAAGACGACGAGATTAGAGAGATTAGAGGTGACGTTAATCACATCCTTGTAATCGAACCTGTAGTCTCGCATCCGCACAAAACTTCCGACAGAGGCAATACTGAACGGAGAACGGGTTTTTAAATGGGGAAGTTTCACTTGTGGCGTGCCGCCGGGGCCTTCAAGTTTGATCAGATATTGACAAGGTAGCCTGCGCAGTAGGCGCTAGGAAATAAATGGGCGCAAGAAAGGACATTTATTTCCTAGCTCTACGCAAGGCAAAAGACAAAGGATCTCGTTCCCAGGGTTCTCTCCAACAACGAGTAGAAGGAATTCATGACAGTTCACATTCCACCGTTTTAATCCGCTAATCACTGGCTGTAATCAATACTATTTGCTTGAAAACTGTCCAACGTGCTTAATCCATCATCTTGGCTCGTAATTAAAAACCATTCAAAATAAAAAAAAATGTCAGGCGTGGAACAGTAACGTTAAAAGGAGCCCCGTAAAAAGAGCCCCTAAAAGGAGCCCTGAAAGGAGCCCTCGTGAAAGGAGCCCTGAAGGGCGTCCCGTAAAAGGAACCCGAAGAGAAGAGCGAGAAGACAAGGGAGAATAAAAAGAGGGAAAGGAGTAAGCGGACAGGTAAAACAAACAAACATTTTTATAAAAGTCTTGTAAATAAATCGAAAAATTAAATCACAAGGTAGTGAAAATATATCAACAAGGACTGAACAAATAATATTAATTCCGATTAATTAAATATATGAGTTCAAAATAGTAAATCGTAGTTTCTTATCATTTCAGAAATACTTCATAGAAAATACTTTTCATCCAACAAATAATAATTAACTGTACTTACAAATGTACACAAACATCTCCGTTAAATTAATTGTCGAATATTTCAATTTGTTTTGAGCAATGAGCAGATTAGACAAGGGATTATCTAAAACAGTTGAACTGACCAAGACCAATTCAACTCATACCTTCTCGACTCATGCCAGGTAAAAGGGCTTACTTTGTTCAGACTCAAGGGGATGGGTGCGATTTTTTGAATTTCATGAAACATAGTGCTTTTAGCAAAGAAAAAGGAAAAAAACCACGCTGGAGGTATGGTACACAAACTAAGGTTGGAATGGGTAAAGTGACTGTTTGGCATTATTACAAATTGTACTTTCCTTGTTCAAATATTTTAGGTCTAGTTATTTTTGATGACTCATGCTATTAATACAATCTCAACAAAGTTGATTGCATAACTAAAGGAGGCAGGAGAGGAAGTAACAAAGTTACTTTCTTTCTTTCTACATTGTATCCTCATTACACTAAATCAAAGACCTACTGCCATAGAGGTGGATTTTTTCCTCAAACAACGCGCGCCCTGGTCATTTCAAGGTCACATGATACCTATTATGACGTGTTAAAGAAAACCCAATTCTTCATGTGTTGCTATGCCTGGAAAAGATAACCTTGTCCAGCGTGGAAACACATGCGCAAGTAGACACCATTACCCAGTAGCTTGACACATCTCTGACCAAGGCAAGGCCAAAGAATATCCTACCGGATAGTTGCCTAAGTTTTGGCCCGCAGAACAGGCGTGATTTTATCGCGTTTTTCTGGCGAAAGAAGGCAAACGCGACCCGAGCGAGGACGCGAGACACGCGCGACGAGGTAAGGCGCCTTCTCACGTAGCGCGTGTACAGCCCGCCAAAGTTTCAGCTCAACGCTGTCCAATTTACTTTAACACTTGGTTTGTAAAATCGAACCTCTGTGTAACAAGTTTATACATTAGCTGGAGCACATAGTGTTGCGCGATTCACCTCAGTAGAGGCAATAGATGACAAAAACCTTTTTGGATTGTTGAATGGCTGATATAGGCGAGAGTCCCCCAAACGATTCAGGGAGAGAGCGACATTCCCCTCTAACAGTTTACGGCCGCTAGCCAAAGGGTGTGAGAGTTAAAGAAGGCCTTGTTTGCACCCTACGAAAGATAAAGAAAACGAAACAAATACTATAAAGACGACGACATAAATGCGTTATATAACTTAAAAAAAGAAACAAAACAAAAGAAAAACTGCCATACTATTCGGGTGTGGACCATGGTATGTGTAATCACGTCCTTTCAAACTTGCTCACGATTATTCCAACTCAATTTGCCGAATGAGAACATTTTTCTTGGAAATTCCAAGCCAGGCCGCACTTTTACAGACGAAGTTTAAAACTCAGTGAGAGTAATTCACTTTGATTTTTGTGTTTGATGTCGTATGGTACAATGACCCATAGAGAAATGTTCTTAAACGTGATTTTTGGCCGATAAAAGCTATTCTTGTTTTGACGTTCTATTTGTGGTCACTAACTATTGTGGTCACTAACTATATAACCTAATGATTTGATGGGCATGTGTTAGGGCCTTCGAGGACCGCATACATTGGGGGCTCAAAGCCCTGATTTGTGATACCATTTGATTCAGAATCAGGTCCCTCTAGAATATCATACACGACACCACCGGCCGCACAGGCATAGTCATAGCTGGGTCCCTCAAGCGCATTATACAATGGTGCTGCATAAGACGGATCCTCCTTGGGACACTTCTTAGAGCCCTCTTTCGCTGCAATTTCCTCGAGTTCGTCCAAATCGGCATAATCAGCGTATTCCGGAGACTCTTCAGCGTTCTCTGGGGGTGGGCCTGTGGAGTATGGAGGCTGGTACTCTGGGGGACTGGGTGAGAGGTTCCTTGAGCTTTGATTTGGATTGAGTAGAGCTAGGTATTCTGGAATATCTTCTCGCCACTTAAAGAAAAATAAAATTATTACTAACACCAATTTGCCGTATTAAAAGAGTGGTCAAAGTAGACATAGGCAATAGGGACCCTACCTCGCAGACACTCTTAGCCTGTTCCAGACTTCCAGGCATTCAAGTAGTAGACCGCGGCGTTCCGATGGTGAGGAGCGAGTCTAATCATACGAGGGGAAAATGAGGAGGAAAACAAGGGGAAAATGGAGCGAGCTCTGGTCTCCCCCCAGTTTTGTTTTGTTTTGTTTTTGTTTTTGTTTTTCCTCGTCAATTTAGCCTGCGAACAAGCTCTCCTATTTGGGCAAGCGAAGCGAGCCTCGCGAGAACGCCCCGGCCCCTCGCGGCTTCGCTCGCCCAAATAGGAGAGCTTGCTCGCAGGCTATCGTCAATTTTGCGCCCACTCTCTAAGATCTGTGACGCCTGAAACAGGCTAAGACACTCTAACCCAACTCTAGTAATGGCCTAGACGATGTGTGGGTCAGCTGCAACGCAGGCTAGGTGATCTCTTGCTGATTTGCGTCGCCGACCAAGAGCCACAATGGTCCCATTAAGGCTCTTGTCGTCGCCCTATTCTCTGTCTCGTCAGGCAGGGCTCCGTTGCGTGACAAGACAACGAACGGCTACATAGGAGACCTGGCCTTAGTTTTGACAGACCAACAAGCAAACGAAAGTGACAAAAACACCGTACAATATGTATTGTACACATGTACAGTCGAACCTCCAAGTGCGACCACCTCTCAAAACACGAAAATTTTCCCAGATGGCTTTATAATTGAAACTTCTGGTAAACGGTTTTCGGTTTTGGAATTTTTCATTGTTTTTAACCTCTTCCAAGCGACCTTCCGATACAATGGTCTGATGTCTGATCTTTGTGTTAACTTCGTGTACTTCGCTACTCAGAGTATGGAAAGATCTCTTAGAAACAACATAGATATACATATATAGTAACTTTAAAATTGCATGCAAATCGTGGCTTCTCTGCAGTTCGACCTCCAGCAGTTCGACTCCCGTAGGTGACAACTGACTCTTCACATTCTGGGTGGTCGCTTACGGGAGGTTTGACTGTACTATAGTGTTTCATCACACATAAAACAACATGAACAAAGTTGAAAACCCGACCCTTGGCATGGCCTAGTATTTTTGACGAACTTTGATATGATTGATATCGTGATGAAACATTGTTATGAGTGCGTGTTTGGTAAAAAGACAAAATAGTTTCCCGCAAGAACTTGAGGATGCAAGAATGAGGCGTTTTAATTTGATATTCAAACCGGCGTTTAGGGCTTGTAGCTTCCTTTGTTTTAACATTTGAATAACGAATAAGTGAAAAGGCAGAAAGGTTTTGAATAAATGTACAAAGAGGTTAGATTCTGTAGAAACTAATTTGGGTTAACTACTGGACCAACTCTTGTAATGAGTTAACGTCTCAACCTAACTTTTAAATCTGTGGATCAAGTTCTATTGTGTTGCCATTTAAATGAAACCTTTTTGGTAGAACTTTTGAATGGTACCATTTATTTCTAAGGATTTTACAAAAATAAATTTTATTTTTCTTTGCCCACCATCAGAGGTAAAAGGGTTAACGGATGTGGTTAAACAGATTCACATTAGACCGAGACATGCGCCTTCTCACCTGTTGAACAGTATTTTTCTGCAATGGTTGGTACATCATCCCATCTGGGTTTAAACTCTGATACACTGCTGCTTTCGGGTCAGAATTAAACCGCGCACGAGCATCATCCTTGATCAAACTCTGATAAACAGGCTTCTCTTCATTTATTGTGCCCTCCGGATTATCATAAATTGGTTTCTCTCCGTCCGGCCCGTTGCCTCTTGTGAATTGTTCCCTATTGTCGTAAGTGTGTTCTCTCTGTATCCTCCTATTAGAAGTGTTAAGGGGCTTCATTTTTATGTTGTTCAAAGGCGGGGAGTCCTTCGCACCCGGATTCTTCTTAATAAGTACCTCTCCATCGTTGTCATATGATGTATCACCTGAATAAGTGATAACAGAGATAAAATAAGTTAAGACGGAATCCACCAGGACATTGAGTAATTTTGATTTTCAGTGGACAAAAATCTTGTACCAGAGTAATTTAAAGCATATTGCATTCTTTCTTACATTTTTCAAGGGCTAAAGATGTAATAAATCATCTGTAGTAACACACAAAAAAATTCTTATGAGAGCCCGAGAAAACAAATGTCAAATTTCACAAAATGACATCTTTCACATGAAATTTCAGAATTTTACCCGTGTAATCACAATTCCTGTGAAATTTGACATTCATTTTCTCGGACTTCCATGAGAAATTTTCTTTGGTGTTACTAGAGATGATTTATTACATCTTTAGCCCTTGAAAAATGTAAAAAAGAATGCGATATTCTTAAATTTATTCTGGTAGAAGGTTTTTGTCCACTGAAAATCAAAATTACTCAAGTTCCTGATAGATTCCGTCTTAAAAGTTTAATCGCCTAAGATGGCTGCGAAAAATCCAGAGATCTGAATGGTAGGGGCGATTATAAAAAACTCCAGCCCTTAAAAACTTATCTCAGCCATTGAAGAGTTGTTTCAATTCAATTACTGAAAATTATTGAACGCTGTTCAGTGATCTAATGAAAATCACGCTTAACTTAAAGGTCTGCAAGTTGAATCTTGCGTTTTGCTTACGTTCTTTTGAGTAACCTGCACTGACTTGTACCCAGTTGGTATGAAAACTGTCAGGGGCTCGCAGCTAGGAGCTGTTTTCTATTACCTAGAAATTTTCATAGCTAAAAGATGGCTAAACATTTCAAGAGAACTCTTCTTTACATCCAAGATTTTCCGGCGGAGTTTTCCATTAAATTCCCTGCAAAAATCCGAACTTGGGTGATCGCTCCCTAGATATGGCTATTACTTGTAAGAAAGGACGCAAAACTTTCGGTTGTGAGAATGGCAGCAAGAAGAAGTATTTAGAAGGTCTCCCGTTCTCGTAAATCTTTACATAGCATCTAAGATCTTCGGGAAAATAACAAGAAAGCCAACTAACTGGTTCGGAAGGGCAAAAGTTCCCCGAAGACTGCCGTATAGATAAAAACGTTAGAGCGCCACTACGAATGTACCTGCAGAGCTTTAAAAAGGCTCTTTAGATAGCCGGAGGGTCAGTATTAAGATTGTGGGGAAACTTGCAGTAGACCTGCACCGTTCTAAACCTCTTATTTCACTGGTCCCCTTTAATCTGCACTTCCATTGTTGTCAGGGATAGGGGCATTGTTATGTGACAATCCCTATAGTTTTCCCAGTCAATTAAAAACAATCTTTCATATGTGGGGATCGCCGATACTTCCCTTAATACAATGTTAACACGAGCTTCTTACTTAGAACAAAATGTTGGGTTAGGGGAGGGGTAGGTGGGATAAACTGTTAGTAGGATCTTATTACAAACAACTGCATGGGACATTTCTCGCCATTCTCTCTTTCCATGTGGTAGATGTGTTACACGAAGATCTTGCGCCCTCAGAGACAAAGAGTCACAATATCTGTAAAAACACAAAGCGCTTAACAAGCGGGAACTTGATGATCTGTTGCGTGGATGTCCGGGCACATCACGTTCGGTGTATGTGTCAAACGGTTTTAACGCAAGTATATGTTCATCTTTGAGAAGTTACATCGCCTTTTCGTCATTCTAAAAGTCGAAAAAAAGGCAATTACGTCAAGGTCGTGTCTTTAAAATTTGAAGCCTTTTTGCTAAAAGAAAAAAAAATGAGAGTGACGCAATGGATTTAGACTGACTTTTCCTTAGTAATCTTTTACAAAAACAAAAGCTATATGTCCATATAATCACCTACCTATATATCTAACAACGTTTTTGCGAGTTCTTTCTACGGGTTCCATGTAAGTATTCTCGTCAGATAAAGGATTTCTGAGTATCTCCGGAATAGGAAAGTGATTCTAAGAAAACAAGGAAAATTGTGTCAAACATGGTCAAACTATTTCAACGACCATACAATAATTAAAAATAAACAAAATGAGGTGTTTTGTTAGATAACACGAGCATATATTTTACGGGTTATGTACTGAAAATGCGAGCGACGTTGAACGAATAATCATAAAATCAGGTCAAACGTTGCTTCATCTAGTTCTCCGCCATTGTCTGAGCAAAAAAACTGCCACGCTAGAATTTTACTGTGAAAATCAAAACTCTACTGAGTTACGACGCGGCATTTTGTCCGTGTTTACCTTTTCTTAAGTGGTAAAATTGGGTAAGACTGAGTCGAATAACAACATCACGTGCTAAGGAAATAATATTTGGAGGTGACCATGGGAGCCGTTAAGGTGTGAATGTCACGTGAAGACGACCATCCCATCATTAAAGCTACAGTAAAACGGGCAACAGAAACGTGCAACATGTTTTGCAACATTGCTACAAAACGAGTTGAAAAGCTATGTTACGCGTTTTACCACCCACGAGGCAAACCTGTCTCGCAACAAACAAGGTTGTTGCAAGTTGCGTGAATACTGTCTTGGATTAAATTACGCGGGAGTCACGAGATACAATGGTACACGGTTTGCTCTCTTCTTTCTGCATCAACTTTTCAACTTGCGACAAATACAGGTTTTAACGTGGGTACGAACAATGCTTCTCGTCTATCCACGGAACTTCATGCACCATCTTACAAAGTCTGTCTACACAGACATTTTTGCCATTGCTAAACCTTGTCACACATATGACACAAGTAAATAGCCTTTATCCGGTGAGTCTTCTGAGAGAAATTAAAGGCCCAGCAACTAACTGAAGGCAGTAGGCTCGTATGTGACGAAGTTAACATATTTTTCTCAGTTAGAATAAAATGTGACTATTACGTACCTGTGTTCCTGTTGTTGGGTTTGCAATAACTAAACAAAAACAGAGGACAAAGAATAAGACAACAAAGTGGAGGCTTACGTAGAGGAAAATATTCTGAGCTCCTAGTTTTCTGTATCAACAAAGGATTTAAGGCAAAGTTTGCACAGACTGTAAGGTCATTCAAACCAAACAAGATCAAGCCCGAGTTGCTCAGAATATAGATGGAGATACTGTGAAAGGTTTGAATCAAGGAGTCATTTCAAAAGTAGGTTTACTATGATCGTCCCTGACTCTGAAGATGACTACCGCGCAGGTTGTCGAAACGTCACTCACTGTCAACAACAACAGTCCTATTCAGGACTACGTTCACCCGGACGATCAAACTAAACCTACTTATATGTAATGGTACTTGCCAGATAAATCACTATTCAGTGGCAAAGCAGTGTTAAAGAGACCAGTTTTGCTAGCCGATTGATAGCGATTTAAGGGTAGAGATTAACCCCTGAGGAGTACAGTGGGTGGACCGATGCATGGTCTAAAGTTGTTGCTAACAAATCATAGGCCTGCCCTTTGGGTGATTGACATTAACTGTGACTTAAATGATGTGACAGATAATTTGTAGACCTTCAGTGCGATTTATATCCCCAAATGACGAAACAACAACGACATTCATTAAAAAAAGACTCTCAGCGCAAACTTTTTCCCGACTTTTTTTCGTGTTTGGAGATAAGGGAAAAAGCATTTCCATGCATAAAATGACTTTTGATACCTGTTGTTCCTGCATCGTAGTTAGCAAGATCTCTGCAAAGCACATTAAAAAGAGGCAGCGTTGAGAAACAATTTCCCAAAAACATACATTTTGAAAATAGTCAAACCTTTTTCTGTCCATTCTATCGATTAAGTAGGACTATCAATGACGTCGATGTTACGATGAATGTCAGTTACGTTGTCTTTCGTTCNAGAATAAGACAACAAAGTGGAGGCTTACGTAGAGGAAAATATTCCGAGCTCCTAGTTTTCTGTATCAACAAAGGATTTAAGGCAAAGTTTGCACAGACTGTAAGGTCATTCAAACCAAACAAGATCAAGCCCGAGTTGCTCAGAATATAGATGGAGATACTGTGAAAGGTTTGAATCAAGGAGTCATTTCAAAAGTAGGTTTACTATGATCGTCCCTGACTCTGAAGATGACTACCGCGCAGGTTGTCGAAACGTCACTCACTGTCAACAACAACAGTCCTATTCAGGACTACGTTCACTCGGACGATCAAACTAAACCTACTTATATGTAATGGTACTTGCCAGATAAATCACTATTCAGTGGCAAAGCAGTGTTAAAGAGACCAGTTTTGCTAGCCGATTGATAGCGATTTAAGGGTAGAGATTAACCCCTGAGGAGTACAGTGGGTGGACCGATGCATGGTCTAAAGTTGTTGCTAACAACTCATAGGCCTGCCCTTTGGGTGATTGACATTAACTGTGACTTAAATGATGTGACAGATAATTTGTAGACCTTCAGTGCGATTTATATCCCCAAATGACGAAACAACAACGACATTCATTAAAAAAAGACTCTCAGCGCAAACTTTTTCCCGACTTTTTTTCGTGTTTGGAGATAGGGGAAAAAGCATTTCCATGCATAAAATGACTTTTGATACCTGTTGTTCCTGCATCGTAGTTAGCAAGATCTCTGCAAAGCACATTAAAAAGAGGCAGCGTTGAGAAACAATTTCCCAAAAACATACATTTTGAAAATAGTCAAACCTTTTTCTGTCCATTCTATCGATTAAGTAGGACTATCAATGACGTCGATGTTACGATGAATGTCAGTTACGTTGTCTTTCGTTCATGGTGTAAAAATTTACAGATATGCAGTTTTTTTTAGTTCTCGTATGTTGAAAAGTCTAAACTATAAAGCGTTTTCACTCACGTGGCCAATATCTATGCACGTTTATTGGAACAAAAGAAAGCTTTTACCCCCCCCTCCCCGGGGGGGGGGGGGCTTTTACACAACAAAAATGTTTGGCCGCCGTGAAGTCATGTGAAAACGCTCTTTATATACCGATTTATAACTTTTGTGCCGCCAATAAAACCATATCGGAGAGGGTATTAGTCTGTAACAGCAAGGTTTGTTTCGGTCAAACGTCTGTACTTTTTACCGAGAATTTAGCTTTGATTCTCGTTAGGTTTCCGTCATGGCTAGTGGTCCACAATTTAAAGGTTGACTTCACACTGTACCTGCTTTTTCTCCGTTGAACTATAATGAACCATAAACACAGAAATCCAAGGACTAAACAGCCAACAGCTGCCACTCCCGATATCACTGCAATCATTGTCATGCTACGTTCATCATCTTTGTCACTCAGTGCCTTATCTTTGTGAACCTCTTTACTCCCTGGAATGTATTCTTTAGAATGCGTGACGGTTATAACATCTGTAGTAGCAGGCTGTGTTTTGAGTGATGGTTTTGTTGTGACGGAACTATCAGTAGAACTCTTTGTGATTTTGGGGGTCTCCGGTGAGGGCTTTGCTGAGACTGCATTGGTGGTTTTTCGTTTACTGTATGGAGCCTTGCAAAAACAATGAAGTGGTAAAAAAGTTATTAACGGAAAGCCTATTAGACTGCAAGCAGTCAATCTTCAGATTTAGTGAGGGGAGTGCACACGCGCGCGCTCGCGAGTTCACAACCTCGGGGAACGAGGTTGGCGAGTTCAGTCACGCGCGTGGTCATTTGCGTGTCTGGGGCGCACTTTGCTTGACAAACCAAGAACAAAGAGAGCCTGGGTAGAGGCCTTTTCCATTTCCTTTTCGCTTAGACTGCGAGCAGTCTCTTATTTTTCTTTTGCGTCACAGTGGATCGAGTACACGAGTGAGGGGCGGGAGAAACGAGGGCGCAACTATTATTTTACTTTTTCGCTCGTATGCCTCGACTGTCTCCTGTCTCGCACACCCACACCCCCCAACTGTCTTCTCTGCTTCCAGTAACTTGTACAACACAGCTTGACCGTATATCTAGTACTTACCCCCCCCCCTCCCCCGCCCCCACCTCCATGAACCAAGTGTATGCATTTCAGGAATATCTACACTATAAACAAGATATGCATGAAGTTTGTCTGTCTGCTTTAGAGAAGTGTCCAAGATTTTAGCTGGGTACTTTGATTTTTATTTAAAATCACACTGTCCAGACTAATCTTTCAGTTACCTTTGTTGTTTGTGTGGCCTTAACAGTTGTTTTCACTGCAGATGTCACTTTTGTCGTTCCCTTGGTTTGGGGTGTTGCTGTGGTTTGGGATTTTGCTGTGGTTATAGACATTGAAGTTGTAATTGGATATGCTTGAGTTGTAGGATCTGGAAAGGTCCCTTTTGAAAGACAAACTGTGTCGTTAGTAGAAAGATCCGCAGAGGACTTTATAAGTTTAGTTGATAAAAAAAAAAACCCTGAGCAGGGGGGACACTTATGTAAAGTTTGGGTAGAGGTGTGCCACTGAGGCCTACAAAGCCTGACCCAGTTTGAGACAAAAACCATTCGTTTCACTTTTCATGACCCTTATAGCCTGCGTAGCAAGCGTTTCCGTTTGGTTTCGGAGCAGAGAAAGACCGAGGAACGGGATTCTCAGTTTTGGCCGCGCAAGAAATGAACAATTTTTCATGCGGTCTTTGACTCTCGTTCCTCTTTCTTTGCTCCTAAACCGCACGGAAACACTTGCTATGCAGGCTATGACCCTTATTGTATAAGTATTTTATACATATATATAACCATGATAGGATTTAACTTTTAGAAAAAAATTGTTAGCACTGACCATGTAAACCTCACACCACCCAAGTTGAACCCCGCCCTGTTCAAGGCTCTAGTCCACACAGACGTGCGACACCTTGTTTAAAATGCAAGACCCTGAAAGCTACACCCTGTTCAGCAGGCCACAGTTGCTCAAAAGATGGATAGTGCTATCCACCAGATAAATCACTATCCAGAGGAGAAGTATGCGGGAAACCAATATTATTGCATTATTCAGTGAATAGACATTTATCCAGTGGATAGTGTTATCCACCCTTTGAACAAATGAAACCAGTACATCCTTGTTTAGGCCAAATAAGGGGGTGCGTAGGGATGTCACTAAGATTTCAAGTTGCTGGGTAAATACAGAGAGTAGCAGAGTGGATCCAGACCGTCAGATAAGGGGGGGCCCGGGCATCCAGCCCCTGAGATAAAGAGGGGGGGCTGATCTCAAAAACAAATTTTTTCGGCCCTTTGGGCCTCAGTTTGGTCTAAAATTAAGGGGGGCTTGGCCCCCTTGGGCCCCTCCCCTGAATCCACCACTGAATAGGTGGGGAATCAAACAGTTAGGGATTTCTTTTGATTCTATTTTTCTTCTATTTTCCTGACAAAGTAGCCGGGGGCCACTTTCATAATATTTGGGGGAAATCCCCACCCCCCTGCCCATAATAACAGCTCTGGGTGCCCATCCAGCACAAGAGGTATCCATCCCTGTCCCTGTTATATATGTCAGTGTTGCTTTAATGTACGTTCATCAAGTAATCTTGGGGGAGGAAGGTGTAATACTCCTTAGTGCTTCAGGAACCCCGCGGGACAACCTATTTATAGTTGGGTGGGGCTTTTATGACATTCACACTAACTCCTGAACATTAACAAGCTTGAAATGAATGAGCTCTTAAGAAGAAGAGAGGAGTATTAACCAACAATTTTGTTGCACTCACATGATTGGTTGCCTTTTGTTTTGAACAGAACACAGAACTCCCTATGCACTGGAGGTCCTTTGTCACATTCACCACTTAATTTCATTATGTAGCCAGAGTACAAAGATGGCATTTTCCCAGTCCACTGATGACACACAAATTAAAAGAAAAACAACAAAAGTATTAGAGAAGTGGAGATTCTGGGGTACTCCCCACTCACCCCTCCCCTAATGCAATGCTAGTTCACTAACTTCTAGCTTAAGGCAACATGGTGTATTAGGGGAGGGGAGAGTCGACACTTCCTGTCAGTTAATTAAATTACAAAAAAGCATATACAGTTGTATATATATTTCATTATAACTAGTAATAACCAAAGGTTATGGGGTGCGGGTGACAATGACCAAAGGTCAAAATGCTTTTGCTCCAGTGCTGTGCTTTGCGTAAGTTTTACGTAACAGAAAGTCAAAACACGCATGATCATGATCAGATTAAGAGTGATAGAAGACTCAATCGTGCGTGATCAAATTGTGTTATGTGCATTCCATACATAATTTACATTCTAAGTGGAAGACCAAACGAATGCTGGCTACATACATGTGATGCATGCGTAATAACAACCTGGAGATTAATAAGCTCCTCTTGTCACCCACAACAATTTAAACATTACACAAAACATAACATACCGCAAGGTTGGTATAGGGCCATTTAGGAATTCGTCTAATGTAAAATGTGTCTTTCTCTTTCCTGCCGAGATCCTTCCATAAATTCTGCTTAAGATACTGAGCGCCTGTAATTTTACACTTATCTGGCAAGGAACCATTCATGCCTTTAGATCCTTGTGCTTTGAGATTCAGCGTTAAAAGAGGTTGTGACTTAAGAATAGTTGCAAATGTCTGTGAACAATCTAAACAGAGAAAAGAAACTATGATTTTACCGTCATGTTTAGCTTTCCTACCTTTGAAAGGAAAAGTACAGAACGGAAATGCTTTCTACAGATACATCTGGTTGTCACGCAATTCTGGAAGATTTGCGTGACGAGTGCTGTCCAGAGGCAAGGAAATGTATGTTTACATTGCGCAATAGTCTTCGATTAGACCAAGATGAATATACAGTAAATGAACTTGAAATGCGTTTNAGTGGAAGACCAAACGAATGCTGGCTACATACATCTGATGCATGCGTAATAACAACCTGGAGATTAATAAGCTCCTCTTGTCACCCACAACAATTTAAACATTACACAAAACATAACATACCGCAAGGTTGGTATAGGGCCATTTAGGAATTCGTCTAATGTAAAATGTGTCTTTCTCTTTCCTGCCGAGATCCTTCCATAAATTCTGCTTAAGATACTGAGCGCCTGTAATTTTACACTTATCTGGCAAGGAACCATTCATGCCTTTAGATCCTTGTGCTTTGAGATTCAGCGTTAAAAGAGGTTGTGACTTAAGAATAGTTGCAAATGTCTGTGAACAATCTAAACAGAGAAAAGAAACTATGATTTTACCGTCATGTTTAGCTTTCCTACCTTTGAAAGGAAAAGTACAGAACGGAAATGCTTTCTACAGATACATCTGGTTGTCACGCAATTCTGGAAGATTTGCGTGACGAGTGCTGTCCAGAGGCAAGGAAATGTATGTTTACATTGCGCAATAGTCTTCGATTAGACCAAGATGAATATACAGTAAATGAACTTGAAATGCGTTTATTAGGTGGATTATGAAAGGTAAATAAAATACACGTTGATGTAGTCTTAAAAAAAAATTAAAAATCGCCTCTGAAAATAATTTTTCATTCTTCCCGACAGCGACAAACACGCCTTCACGCAAAGTGAAATTCTTAAAACCTCGTTTACAAAGATATAATATTCTTTTCCCTCCATCACAACGTTTTCTAAGTGCTATTAAACATTTTCTATGCACAAGCATACCGGATTTTTTAATAAAACAAAGAGCGCCAATACAGTCGAAAGCAAAATATTGCGAAACCCCTTACTTGCAAATGTTCGAAAAGAAGAATTTTCTACACAAGTTGCAGTTTTTGGAGAGGTACCCATTCGAAATGTTGAATGAGAATAAGTGCAACTACAAATACAGCATCCTAGATTACTACAATCTCCATTCCTGTCCAAACACCACTGCCTTCCATTGTCATTTCGCCGCGGACACTTTCCAAGAGGATCCATGTTCGTAAATAAGTCACGGCGGTCCCCGTGTATCACTCGTGTTACATTGAAGTGGAATCCTTCGCACGAGCGAAAGAGCAGCAAAAGGGTCAACACGAACCAATGTGGCATTCCAAAATTGCTAATTCCCATTCTCTTTCTTGGATCTTGAGCACCAAAATGGATTAGCGCCTAAAAACAAAAAAATTGAAATGTAATTCCTCCTTTCCGGAATCTGTAGATTCACGTCTATATCACGTGTGGTCTCCCTCCGAAGAATAGCGAAGCACTTCCGAAGTAAGTCGAAAGAATACGACGACGATTTGTAGTCTCCAATATGGCGGACAGCAGGGAAGAAAGCGACGAACTGCAGAAACCAATGAAAGTTAATGGCAGATACGTTGATCCGTGGGGGACTACAAATTTTCCTTCAAAAACAGATGTGTTCAGATGGATGTTTAAAGAGAAAAATGAGCGCGGAATCGGAGGTGGTTTGAAAGATCTGTACCGCTTCAAAACGCAGGCAAGTTCTTTTCTTATTTGTTACGTTAGATCCAGTCTTGTTTGAAAAATGAAATGTAAAAGGGTAATTTTTATGACTTTTACAATGATTTTGTGGCCCAACGGTAGTCGCATAATTAACCGGGTTCCACCATTCTATTACGTAATAACATCGGGAACACAGTAAATTGATGTGTTTTTGAAAGAAGAGAACAAAGGGTATCTCATCCCCATTAATTTTCTGTTTTTGCAGTTCACGTGGACAAGGTAATTATAGCCTTTTCTACATTTAATTTTTAAGACAGTTTCTCCTTTTAATTCTGTTTGTATACAAATCCACAGGAGCTTGAAAGAACTCTTCCTGTCTTGACCCCTGACAGTAAAGCTTTGTCATCTCCCCCCACAGATGCCATTCAAGTGACCTGGCTAGGTCATGCCACTGTTTTGGTTCAAATGGACAATGTCAATATCTTAACTGACCCTAACTTAAATACGTTTGCCGGGCCTAGCAAGTCATTAGGCATGAAGCGTTATCGACCACCTCCTTGTAAAGTGGACGAACTACCAGTGATTCATGCAGTATGCATCAGTCATGATCACTATGACCACTTAGATGTCAAGTCTGTTATGGCCCTTAATCAGAGGTTCGGAAAAGATCTTTTCTGGTTTGTTCCCATGGGACTGAAAAACTGGATGAGTGAATGTGGGTGTCAAAACATCATTGAACTAGAATGGTGGGAGGAAGCTGAACTACCAGAGAAATCGCAAATTTTTCCAAAGTTTATCTTCACTCCCTCGCAGCACTGGTGTCGCAGATCATTGACGGATCGTAATAAAGTGTTATGGGGAAGTTGGACAATAATAGGGGCAAGACATAGATTTTTCTTTGCTGGAGATTCTGGATACTGCAGAGGGTTCAAGCAGATTGGAATGAAGTACGGACCATTTGATTTTGCTGCCATACCTATTGGAGCATATAAGCCAAGGTCAGTGTCATTTCCAAACGAAAAACAATAAACTCCTCACAGCATGCAAAGAAAGTAGAGTCCAATAGCCCGGGGCTAGTGGATTTTGCTATTGGACTAGTGAATTCTGTTTTTAACTTGCCCAACGGGCAAGTGATGTTTTTTTAAGAATTGGAATAATAGAAGAACTGTGAAATCAATTGTGCTCGTCAAAAAGATTTTGGGGCTGGTTGAAATAACATCTGGGCTAGTAAATGCTAGCTTCAGCTTGCCCTAATGGCAAGCTGTAAAAATGATTTTCTTTGCACCCTGCTCCTCAACAGAAGGGAGAGAGAAAAGAGAGGCAATTTTTTGTGATTGCGCTGGCTCCCAGTGAAGCAACAACATTATTCTGGACTCACTGCACTAGTATTTAATGGCATAACAGGAAGTGCCCCAGTGCTCTCAACATATATGAGCTCATAAGAAGGACAGCCATCTTGACAATGACAACCAAAAACTCAGAAATGTTAAACATGCCACTCCTCCATGTTGCTCAGAAGTGACCCAAGTTCCTTTCAGTATAGGACAACGTCTCTTTGGAATAAGTATTGCAGCCAGAACTCAAGCTGAGCAAATCCATGGCTTATATTAAGCGTCAACTTTATAGGTGACTGCTTATGGATGTTTCCTTAATGTAGTTACCAAAATTTTTTTACTCACCATGGTGATATAAACGGTTGCAGCTTGGAGCACTGCCTTGTTTAACGTTGATGTTTTTCATTTCCAGGTGGTTTCTACAATTCCAACATGTAGATCCTGCGGAAGCTGTCTGTATTCATGAAGATCTTCAGTCTCGTCATTCATTAGGAATTCACTGGGGCACCTTCCCAACAGGAAAAGAGGTATGTTACAGCTGTACAAATGGACATGTTACATGTATATTTCTCCTGGGAATTTTTTTGTGGGGGTGTCCCGCCTGGTTCTCCAAACCCTGACCCTATATCAGACCCAAAAATGTAATTTGCCACACCCATTTTCAGACCTGGCCTCTAAAATCCGTACCCGTTTTCCGACCTGGAGGTGGCAAAATCTATACACGTTTTCAGACCAAAATGGCACAAAAACACATACCTATATGGCTATGGACCCCCCCCCCTTAGGCCTTAGGTCTCTCCACTAGCTCTGAGCTATCAGATAACACTTCCTCATGCCCTTAAATGGGGCACCGTCAAATTCTTTTAAGTTTTAAACATAATATTTATTTTGTATCAAGAAAATTCTTTGCAGCCCAATCTCAATCAAAATGATTATAATAAATATTATAGATTGACATTTAGTGCTGGTCTTTGTTTCTCAATGTTTCATTTACAACTTTTGCTACTATAATTTCTAATGACACCACAATAATATTATATTAGCTGAGTCCTGTTTTTTTTTTTTCTTAATTTGGCAGCATTATTTGGATCCACCTAAAGATCTTAAAGAAGCTCTCAAGTCTAAAGGGATTCCTGACTCATGCTTTTTCACCTTAAAACATGGAGAAACCAAGGTCATAAAATAACCTTAAAAGCAAAAATAGACAATGAAATTGCTTGAAAAGCAGTAAACTAGGAATGTTGAAACACTTTGAAAATTTTGTCGTTATTACAGTGTACAGGTATTTATTTATTAAATTTTATTCATTCATTAAAAATACTCAAAGAGCTTCAACAACCAGAGTCACAAGTCTGCTGTGTTTTTTATTAACTTTATGATATAATTGACTTTATTTTNTTTGCAGCCCAATCTCAATCAAAATGATTATAATAAATATTATAGATTGACATTTAGTGCTGGTCTTTGTTTCTCAATGTTTCATTTACAACTTTTGCTACTATAATTTCTAATGACACCACAATAATATTATATTAGCTGAGTCCTGTTTTTTTTTTTTCTTAATTTGGCAGCATTATTTGGATCCACCTAAAGATCTTAAAGAAGCTCTCAAGTCTAAAGGGATTCCTGACTCATGCTTTTTCACCTTAAAACATGGAGAAACCAAGGTCATAAAATAACCTTAAAAGCAAAAATAGACAATGAAATTGCTTGAAAAGCAGTAAACTAGGAATGTTGAAACACTTTGAAAATTTTGTCGTTATTACAGTGTACAGGTATTTATTTATTAAATTTTATTCATTCATTAAAAATACTCAAAGAGCTTCAACAACCAGAGTCACAAGTCTGCTGTGTTTTTTATTAACTTTATGATATAATTGACTTTATTTTGTAATGTCAGGGAAGGTTACTAATAGCTTTGCATACAGTGTAGCAAGTACATCGTAAATGTATTCACCTGCAAAGATCAAGAACACTCTAAGTACATTATAATGGACCAAGAAGAGTTGCTAAATAGCTTGTAAAATTGAATTGTTAAATTGATTAAAGCAGGTAAACTCAGAATAGTTCATAAACATACGACCTGTACTCTACGGTTGTATCGAAAAGCAATAAATAGAAAATACCCAAGTGATTTGAGTTAGACTGTTTTCCTTGTTGTTTTTTACTTGATATACCTGTATCTTTTCTTTTCAAACTCAATAATAATTCAGCAAGAGACAAAAAATGGAAATCGATATCAGATACATTCAAAGCTCCCTTAACGGATACCCACTGAAACGGACAGGTTCATGGTTAAGCACATGCTCATTAATTAAATTACTTTTTTCCATTTATTATTAATTCTACCAGTTAATAATTCCACTCACATGTATCTCAGCAATCTCAGAGTGTATTTCAAAGTAGAAGTGTATTTCAGAGTAACCTGAAGTAGGATGGAGGAATACTAAAATCGCAGAAAAAATTAGTGGGTTATGCCAACACTACCAACACCGAATTTATTGTTGACCCGAAGGTTTTATCCCATGGTTGATTAAGTTACAATTATTTGCACATAAGGTGATCAAGTGACTGCGGGAGTGTGTGCAGATTGGTTCTTTGACATGATCATGTTGCTTGCATAGATGACACAGCATGTCGTGACAGAAAAACAGCATTTTGATAAATGAGCATGTGCTGAACCGTGAACCTGTCCCTTTAAAACAGACACCTTGTTAGTAGGACACTTTCCTTTATCCATGGGAGAAAGTAAGCCCTCACATTTTCTCTAAATTCAGACATCTTGTTAATACGGACACTTTCTACATGTATGGCCCCCTCAGTGTCTGTATTTACCAGGTTTGACTGTACTTACAGAAGAAAATAATTACTGTATTTTAAAGTTTTGCAACACTTAAGCTTTGAATTAGTGTAAATGAAACACACTTGAACAGCATTTTAGCCTACCTTGAATTAAGTTGAAAACTTGGCTACACTGACTAGTGCGAATAGAGAGGAGAAGTCATTGCGTCATGTTGCCATGGTAGCAAAATTTCTGGATGACAACAAACCGAAAACATCACTTAAAAAGTGATTCGCACTATTTCAAACTTCATCGATTTTATTTAATTTCATTTAATTTGTCAAACATTGGCGAATTTTCTGGGGTTGAATCCAAAAGGATGGAAAAGTAAAGAAAATTTTTATGTTGTGTTCACCTACTCCATAAAGCAGGCATGTGAAATTAGGAAGTTTCATGTTGCAGTCGTGCAACGACGGCTAAAAAATGTACAAAAAAGCGTAATCACGTGCAAAGTCGTTGTTTTGCTGATCTAAACCTACTGCTTTTTAGCCTTTCTCGTTGCTGTGGCCATCGCCATTGCTTTAGCTCCTTCTTGTTGTCATCCAAAGATTTTGCTACCATGGTAACGTGACGTCTCACGTCTCCCCTCTATTGCTAAGAAGAATTAGTTAATTTCACTTTGAAGTTTCACACACAGTTGAATTGTGCAAGACTTGATGTTTCAATCATTTACAAAAACAGTAACTGACTTAAGACAAGGTACTAAAGAAGCCGAAACAAAAAGGACACTTGGTTATTGCCTCTAAGAGGCCACACATCCATGGAGATAGCTCAGGGTGTGGCATTGAAACACATCGACTACAGTCCTGACAACGCTTATGAAAGAGTTCAGAACAAACAGTGAATTTTGCGCAACACCGCTGCCACTTGTGTCCATTTCTACAAGTTCCGTACTCCATGTTCTCCATAGGAATGTCACTCTCACAGATCGGGCATTTCTCCCTTGCTGGCAAACTGATCTGGTCTTTCAATCCTCCTGCCAACGTAGGGGTCAAGGAAGGACCAGGGTTTGCTTCCATCGGTTGAGCTGCAGCTCCTCTTCCATCATCAGCTTCAGTGCTGTTCTGCAGGGCAATGTTTTGCTCTTGGGGGTCATTGGCATTCTTTGCATGCAAAAGATCTTCACCATTTCTCTTACTTTGCACCTGAAGTCCTGAAGTGGCTTTCAAGCCTTCAGCGTCACCACACATACGGTAAACGTTGGTCACCAACTCAAGTACAGGAGGATCATTGAAATTCATTACCAGCCAGTCGCTGATTAACAGGGCTGTCAAACAGTCTGACTGATTGACAGTTTCTGATGCTCTTCCTTCAATCCACTTTGTCAATGTTGCTGTACCCAAGCATTTGTACATGTATCTTACTGTGTATTCAAGCTGAACTGAATAGTTAGTATTATCATTGCCTTCACCCTCGGAAAACATCAAGGCCACCAGAGAGAGAACATATTGTCGAAGTATTAGTAAACCATAAGAATAGTTGGAAGGATCTGTAAAGAAGGCTAATGTCAGGTGTTTGCTTTGGCTGACAAAAAGTTGCATAGCTTTGCAAACATCCCATTTGTTCTCCACGTTAACACTTTCATTGCTCAGAAACTGGTCAACTGCTGATGATCCATCAGAGATGTTTATGAACAGGATCTGAGTTTGATGAGATTCTAGAGACTGTGATGTGTAATTGGAAGGGAACAGGAATAGAGCAATGAAGACGGCATTTGCAGACACTCCAATGCCATTACACAAAAAACGTTTCTTGGCATTGTAATCAATAGATCTTGGAGGGGTCTTGTCGCTTGTCAACATTTGCACTGATCCATCAAGGCTGCACGAAAAGACAGTCCCACCCCGTGCACAAGCCAGTCCTGTGATGGGTAACCTGTGCACTTCTGTTATTATTTTGTAGGTGGGCTTTTGACTCAGAACAGTGCCTTTTACAGAAAATGAAAATATTATGACTGAGGATCCTTTAGAGACAACAAGCCGATAACCAGTATTGGCCTGCGGAGAGGGCATCCACTCCATCCATTGGATCTGCATCTCATCTCTGTCTCCCCAGAACACATAATCCGCTAAACCAGTAATAGACGGCAACACAGCAATACTAAAGACCTTCACAAATCCATCAATACTGCCCACGGCCAATAGCCCATGAGTGTTTGTGATGCTCTGCCAGGACAAAGAGCAAGGCCAGGACTGATGAGTGTCAAGAAATCCTTCAAGCTCAACACTTGTTGAGTTCATTGTAATGGGTAGCGCTGCTTTCCAAAAGATCACGTGACCACTCTGGTTTCCGGTCGCCAACACTGCAAATCTACTGTCACTCCCAGAGGTTCCTGATTCATCTGTCATTGAATTTCTGTTGTGATGGTAAATTTCAGAAAACCAGTGTAAACAAGTCGTTGAAAGCAATTGTGTTCGCTCGTTGAACGTCTTGACAGATTCACTGTTGCTGAACACATGCTTTGGCTGACTGGGTTTCTCCTGTTGTGTCTGCATGACATTTTGATGAATCTTAAAGTTGTTAGCCGCAACGTGAGAACGAAGAGCTTGTGATAAATTGACAACTTCTTTCCACTTAAAGCCCAACATGGGAGGCAAATGAATACAAAGCTGATGATCTGAGGAAAGCGTTGCAACAACACAGCGGCCATTGTTGTCACAGTTCAGCGGAGACCAGGCGACTTTTTCAAAGCTTATCGATTCAAACAGTGCTTTATTAAGCTGAGGATCCAAACACCAGTCGAAATCAGAACATCTATCGTCAATGACCTTTTTACGGTTCATACCAACATCCATTGTCCACGGCACACTGTGGTTGGGTATAAACGTCTTCTCGAGATTCAATCCAGGGCGAATAGACGAAACAAGTGTCAGAACGTAAACACCTTGATCAGTAACCACAGATAGTCTGTCGTCTAGAGACCATGATATACCTCCTGGAAAACAACGCGAATAGCTCAATTTTACCGTCTCGATTGGTTTTCCCTTCAAAGGTCCAACGTCCGCCATGTTGGTTTTTACGTCAAGGCTATGCGACCGCGTGTTAGTACGGGACATGAGACGTTGGTTTACATAAAGAACTTTTGTGGAGGGTACATCACGAAAGCAACCACGCCGGGTGAGCTGTGTTCTGTTATTCTCCTTCTTGGTTACAATTTTCGCTTACTCTGACATAGAACTGATAACAGGTAACAGTACTAAAAAGAAGGTGAATTTCACTGTATGTTGCAGTGATCTTCATCGCGCTTACCTGATACGTGTAACCAGATGTAACTGTAGCAGCTATATAGGTGGAGGTTGAGTTACCGTCTAGTTTTAGTATTTGCTTATGCGAGCAAAATCCAGTAATCAAATTTTCCAAGCACAATAATTTCGTTACTGAACGTTTGATAAAGGTGCACTTTAACTGTATTTAAGCTATAAATCCAATATGGAACGAAACTCTTAATTTAATATGTTAAAACATATTGAAGGCAACTTTGCTGACTTAGCAGGAAGAGTTTATGATGTAACTATAACCCGGCTTGCAATTGTCGGGGCTAGATAATCCGGGGGGTGGGTTAAAAAGGGGAAGAGACTGAAAGGGGGGAGACATGTGTAACCTGTACACACAGCTCTTGACTTAGCTCTTCATCTTTCATACTATTGACATTTCTTATATTAACTTTTTTAGCCATCGTAAGGTCTACAACTTACAGCAACTCACACACTCTAATATTTTTTGCCTCACACACTCTAATATTTTCTTGGCCTGTTCCAGGCTCCAAGATAATAGGGAAAGCTTATCAAGGAAAGTTGTGCGAAAAATACAGGGGAGGTGGGAGGGAGAAAGATACTAGTAAGTGTAGCCTGTAAGCATTGTTTTGAGTACCTCATTCTGGTATGCCAGGTTGGTGAGAAGACTGTGGTGTTTGTTAATAAGATGCTTGCCTTTTTTCACTTACTCATCACTCACCCATTGCTTGCTCACTTTTCTCACCCATTGGCACTGACTGAGAGCCTGGGACAGGCTAATATTTTCTTGCATATCAAATTTTTGAATTTTTTTTTATTGCGAAAAATTCAAAAAATAGAATATGGTGTGCTTAGCATAGGAAGCGCAACAGAATGGAGAGAGGTTTGGTCTGGTAGTAGCATGTTGTAGTAGTTTTTGGAAAACATGATTCTCTATCCTTCGACAGGAGCAGGGTTTGTAAGGCTCTGGATCTCTCACCCCACCCAAGCATCTGTGGGTCACTCCATGACAAAAATAAATTCAAAACAGCAAGCTGGCACGTTTCAACTTTTACTAAAGTGTTTTAATAGAAGGTAGGTTGTGAAGACAAGTTAATGTAAATTATATCCCAGTAGAAGGGCCTGCTGAGGAAAGGCCCGTAGTCAGACTCTTCAATCTCAAGTAGAATACTCCCCTTGTTTCTTAAGTGCTCATCATATCATTTAAAGGATAACCTGTATTAATTAGCTTACCAGAAGACACCTTCAGTTGTGGTCATCATTAAATTTCTCCTGGTTAGTATTTCTTTGGAGGTTGGACATTGAGAAGACTGATCAAGCTGATAGGCATGTAACCATTAAGAAGTGATATAATAATATTATAATGATATTGATAATAATCACGATGATGATGATAATGATGATGATGATGATGACAGTGATAAAAATGACGATAATGATATTGATTATTATTAATAATAATAATAATGATGATGATGATGGTGATAAAAATGATGATAATGATATTGATAATAATAATAATGATAATGATAGTGGTAATGATAATAATTTAATATCAGGAGTCGATTGCTACTCAGCTCCTGTTTAATATTGATTATGATGGTGATAATGATAATGATAATAAAAATAAATAAATATTTTAGAGACACTTAAGATAAACAGTAAAACCTACTAACATGTACAATATATTGAAGCCCAATGCAACCGTAAGATCCATTCTTCCTTTATCCATATTTTAAACACTTTCACCTACTCTCCCACTTTAAAGTTGTCGCATGCATACATGAACATGTAGATGTATGCCACAATTAATTAATATTTAATTCTTTGGCAGAAATTCATTTTAAATTACTTTGAAATTTTTTCATTTGTCTGTCTCTGCCGTCACTTACGAATTCAGATTTTTGGACCTTTGTGTCTGGAGATTAACATGTGTGTGACAACTGACAGACTTACAGACCTGTAATTGAAAATTTTGTTTGTTGTCATTAATTACCATCTTCAAGTACCTCCAAAAATAATAAAATAATGCTGTGAAATTCATTTACAAATGACCAATAATCTCTGGACAGGTCCTGGAGGAGAGGGGTACTCCCTATGATGGCCCATACAGGGAGGCGCCGCCCAAAAGGGGTACCTTTTTCAGGCTTCAGGTATATGAAAGAGTAGGGATTTCACAAGTATAATGTGTATGAAAGGGTAGGGAAATCTATCATTTTACTCTTTAAAGGACCAATATGGCTAACAGATACATTTTATGGGTGTCAAAGAGACAAGAAACTTCTCATTTTAGCGATTTATTCATATTTTAATATGAATAAAGAAAAAGACATTGCATCTGCATCAGTTAAAAGGAATGCAGTGTTCCGAACTAGGTGATATTGTGAATGGGTCTCCACTTGTCAGTGGGTTTAAAAGGTACAGGTGCACACAAGCCAAAGGCC